AGGGCCGCAAACCGCCTGCACTTGTGGACCTGCTGCTGCAGTGCTGAAGCACATCCGCTTGGGAGGGTTAAATCAGCGCAGGGCTCCGAAAAAAAACGGGCCTCCAGCCAGGTCTGGTGCCGTCTGTGCGCTGCTGCTGCAGTACGTTTGACGACCTCTTTCTTGGAGACCTGCCCCTCTGCTCCCTCGCAGATTCATCCTTGCTGCAGCCCCCTCTGGCCAGCCCCTGCGGGCCCCCCTCCTCCCTGCTCAGCTCCCTCTCACCCTCGCTGCAGCCGCTGTGCCCCCAGAGCAGCTCGGCTGGTAAAATTCTGCAAGTCACACCCCCGAGTTACCAGCGTTTAAGGTGGGCTTCAGTTCCTCACCCAATGCAAGAGGCAGGCTCAAGGTGATCAAGTGCAGCTGAGATGGAGAAATGCAACACAATCTGTTTTCCAGTTACAGGTTTTTTGCCCTCTACCCTCGCGATGGAGGACAGACAAAAAACGGGGCCATGGAATTGAGCAAACTCAGCAGCAGGGCTGAGGGCTGTTTTACCCCAGTACCACAAATCCCAGTAAAGACAATAAGCTTAAGCATTCATTCATGCAACACCTAAGTCACTAAGCTGACTTATTTAATGAGACAAACCACAGGACACAGTCCTCCAGGGGTGCGACTGGGTTGTACCTGCTACCCAGTGCAGAATCCACTTCTCTGCTAGTATTCCTCTCCCTACTGGTTTTTTTCGTGCTTACCCCAAAAAGGTTTTTGGCAATGTCCAATCTCTGGATTGGACTGGTCTATCAAGGGGAGAGGGTGACCTCAACATTCAGCTAAAACCTCATTGCCCCTTGTGGGCCTGGGCACCCCTCATCATGTGGGGGATGACTTTTGAGAGCACAACCTTACAGTATAAATTCCAAAACATTTTATTGTAATGCACCTGATGCACAAACCCCAGAGCGCAATTGCCCTAAGTCTGACTCAGCACTGCTAAGAACAGTTACCAGTCTATCGGCCTTTACCAGTGGCCACCATTATCAGGAGAGACAACATTAAGTGCAGGATTACCCCATTTACCTTTTGGCTGAGGGGTTCATTTACTTTTTAGCCCATTTTTGTGGCCCAAATAATTGCCCTCATGTTTATTCTAATGTGCCCAGTACCCCGCGCTGTGCAAACAGTCCTGCGGAACCAGCCAACCCTGCTTAGCTTTTTAAGTAGAATAAACTTGGTCTGTGCAGACCAAGAAGGGCAGATAGAGATGCCAAGTGCCTAGAACACGTGGAAGTGTGCCCATTTCATCCAGTTGTCTAAACAGGAGCCAAACACTTTAAAAAAAAAAAAAAAAAATCAGCTTCATATTTCTGGCTAGCTACCCACCTTCAAGATCACAATATTCACAGCTTCACAACAAAATTCCCCGACAGCCTCACAAAAAAATCCCCCAAACCAAAACCCAACACCCTGCTAAAACCTATAAAAAAAAAAAGGCTATAGCAGCACTGATATGCATGGATTATGCGACCATGTGTCAAAACAACTTGCAGTCATCATATAAAACAGGAGCCTGAAGGGACACACCCTCAGTTTTGCAGACAACAGTGGTTTCACCCAGACAGTCCACATTCTGCAAGTCACACCCCCGAGTTACCAGCGTTTAAGGTGGGCTTCAGTTCCTCACCCAATGCAAGAGGCAGGCTCAAGGTGATCAAGTGCAGCTGAGATGGAGAAATGCAACACAATCTGTTTTCCAGTTACAGGTTTTTTGCCCTCTACCCTCGCGATGGAGGACAGACAAAAAACGGGGCCATGGAATTGAGCAAACTCAGCAGCAGGGCTGAGGGCTGTTTTACCCCAGTACCACAAATCCCAGTAAAGACAATAAGCTTAAGCATTCATTCATGCAACACCTAAGTCACTAAGCTGACTTATTTAATGAGACAAACCACAGGACACAGTCCTCCAGGGGTGCGACTGGGTTGTACCTGCTACCCAGTGCAGAATCCACTTCTCTGCTAGTATTCCTCTCCCTACTGGTTTTTTTCGTGCTTACCCCAAAAAGGTTTTTGGCAATGTCCAATCTCTGGATTGGACTGGTCTATCAAGGGGAGAGGGTGACCTCAACATTCAGCTAAAACCTCATTGCCCCTTGTGGGCCTGGGCACCCCTCATCATGTGGGGGATGACTTTTGAGAGCACAACCTTACAGTATAAATTCCAAAACATTTTATTGTAATGCACCTGATGCACAAACCCCAGAGCGCAATTGCCCTAAGTCTGACTCAGCACTGCTAAGAACAGTTACCAGTCTATCGGCCTTTACCAGTGGCCACCATTATCAGGAGAGACAACATTAAGTGCAGGATTACCCCATTTACCTTTTGGCTGAGGGGTTCATTTACTTTTTAGCCCATTTTTGTGGCCCAAATAATTGCCCTCATGTTTATTCTAATGTGCCCAGTACCCCGCGCTGTGCAAACAGTCCTGCGGAACCAGCCAACCCTGCTTAGCTTTTTAAGTAGAATAAACTTGGTCTGTGCAGACCAAGAAGGGCAGATAGAGATGCCAAGTGCCTAGAACACGTGGAAGTGTGCCCATTTCATCCAGTTGTCTAAACAGGAGCCAAACACTTTAAAAAAAAAAAAAAAAATCAGCTTCATATTTCTGGCTAGCTACCCACCTTCAAGATCACAATATTCACAGCTTCACAACAAAATTCCCCGACAGCCTCACAAAAAAATCCCCCAAACCAAAACCCAACACCCTGCTAAAACCTATAAAAAAAAAAAGGCTATAGCAGCACTGATATGCATGGATTATGCGACCATGTGTCAAAACAACTTGCAGTCATCATATAAAACAGGAGCCTGAAGGGACACACCCTCAGTTTTGCAGACAACAGTGGTTTCACCCAGACAGTCCACAGATTCTCTCTGCCCCACACCTCCCACACGTACAGTCACAAAGTCCTCTAACAGACCTAATGGCACACCAATAAAAAGCCCAAAGCCACGGCAACATTGGTGTCATCTAAGGCCCTACCTCAAGGAACGCGTCGGTACAGGCTCTCCCGGAGACGGATAATGGCCATGCTAAGAAGTGGTAGGAAACCAAAACTCATCTCTGTAGGCAATGGCTTTCTACCCACAAGTTGATTTTACTTCCAGCGTGTGAACGAGACGCACCAATCACTTCTCCAAGGGTTTTTTACTGCCAGCGAGGAATCTTTCACACTGATCCTAGACCCCAGTTACTTCTGATGGACATTCATGCTCTGCTCTAGTGTGTTCCAGCTGGGTCCCCCAGCAAGGAAGGGCCGACGAATGCTCAAATCCCAGCCCACCTCACCATTTACATTCTACCCAGGTTCATCTTCGCCCATGTCCTGTCTCTCTGTGGACAGCTAAGACTGCGCACATCCAAAGTTTTGCAAAACACCACAGAACATAAAACCGAACAGAGATAATGCGCGCACGCTTAACTGAGCCATTCTAGAACCTCACAGGAGGGTGCAGTGAGGTGGGTGTTGGTCTCTGCTCCTGGTAACAGGCAACGGAACGAGGGGCACCAGCCTCAAGTTGGGCCAGGGCAGGGTGAGGTTGGCCATTGGGAACAATTCTTTCCCCTTGGGGCTGTCAGGCGCTGGAAGGGGCTGCCCAGGGAAGGGGTTGAGTCCCCACCCCTGGGGGGATTTAAAAGCCAGGCAGACGCGGTGCTGAGGGCCAGGGTTTGGGGGTGGGATGGCAGGGTTAGGGGAACGGTTGGGCTTGATGATCTTAAAGGGCTTGTCCAACCTAAACAATTCTGTGATTCTATGATTCTATATTCCATAATATCTTCATTCCCATCAAACAGGTTTCTCAACCTCATGTTCTTGGAAAATTTTTCTCCTAACTGCAGAAGTCCTAGGACTGTCTGGCTTCATGCCTTTTTTTAAGTCGTACAGCACCAATAAAATAAGTTCTGATTTTTATTTCACAAATTAACACTGTAGCTTGGCTCGTATGCAGTAGTGCTGTAGAAATGTAATGGTCTTTCTCACAGTGTAGCTTTATATAGCTTATGCTGACTACACAGTTTATAAATGACACACTGAAATTTGTTGTGTTCTGATTAAATGTTCCCTGAGACCCTTTAAATCCATATAAAATTCATCAATGGCTGCACAAATTTTAGTTATTTCCCTCGGCTTTGGTAGTGATGCTGTGTCAGCCTTGCAGGCCTTGATTTTTAATTCAGGGAAAAACTTCCATTGAGAAAACACTCCAGGATCTGCTCTGTAGTGATATTGATTTTTCTAGTAAAGGGCAAAAATTGAAACACAAAACCCCATCATTTCAGTTTCACTGACTGAGGCGAGGGGGGTTCTAGCTTTTTTTACTAGAGTTTTGTTTTCCGGTAATTTCTTGAAATTTCATCT